GAGACCGGTTTTAACCCAGGCTTTTTCAGACCCAGGCCAGCTGGCCTTGGTGAGTTCCTGATAGAACATCCCCATTGTCTCAGTGTGTGGGTGCACCCCTCGCGGTCCTGAGTTCCTTGCTCGTGCTCTCTCTCCTTCTGCTCCTGATTTGGACCCTGGGATTTCAGTCCGGTGCTCCAATGTGGGTCTCTGTCTCTGTCTCCTTTCATCGCCTGATGAAGGTTAATATTCAGGAGGATGCCTATATGTTTTTCTTTGTGTTCACCTTCTTATTTAGCTTCTCTAAGAACCCGAATTATAGGCTCAGTGTCCCTTATTTATGGCTAGAAACCAAATATGAGTGAGTACATCCCATGTTCCTCTTTTTGGGTCTGGCTTACCTCACTCAGGATGGTGTTTACTCTTTTAAGGAAACAATAGGCTCGGGAGCCAGTGGGAAGACCTTGGGTGAAGTGAAGCTGTGTAGAAGAACCTGCTCTTCCACTCCCATTCCCAGAAAAGCCCTAATCCTAGTCCCCTTTGGTTCTGCAAGAGCAGAACCAGCATCTAGTGTCCCCTAATCCTAGTCCCCTTTGGTTCTGCGAGAGCAGAACCAGCATCTAGTGTCCCCTAATCCTGGTTCCCTTTGGTTCTGTGAGGACAGACGCGGCATCAGCTATGGAAAGCGGGGTGGGAAGCTGCAGCACAAACTAGTACAGCAGTGGTGGAGGAGCACACAGGACAGAAACTCACTGGGAGACAGGGTGGACGGTGTGCTGACAATATTTCATTTTAGTTAGTTAGTTTTATGTACACATTAATGGGTTTCCTTATGATGTTTTTACATATATCACTGGATCTTGCTCATTTTATGAGTTTATTTTAGTTGTATAAAATAATGGGCTTCACAGTTATTTATATCTTCATGGAGGCATCTAGCACACTGGGCTTAAATGGCCAGCTTCTAAAGCTGGAATCTAGAGGAGGCATCCCCGAGGCTTCTGTACTAGTGCACAACCAGACTGGACTCGTTCTTGATCATTTTCCTGTAGATAATCTGAGAAAAGGGAGGAAGTAAATCCCTCCATTTGGTGTGACATCATGGCGAAAGTGTGGGAATTGGTCATGACAACTCGGAGCACAGGACACAGAGGCAACTCTGTTTCTTCCTCGCTGAGTCTTTGTCCTCACCCAGCAATCCTTTTTATTTAAGGGCCAGCAAAAGGCAGGTGTTACAGGTGAGAAGAAACTTCAGAGAAACATTTACAAGTTCGGATTGTGAAATGAGGGAGCTAGTAAGGGAGAAATGGAGGAAGGCAGCAAGGGACTGAGAACTGGAGAGGCGGAGGGAAGGGGAGAGAGCGAGAGCAGCGGGGAGTTTAGGTGTTGGCATGTCCTTCGGTGTTGCTTTTAGGGCATTAAGAGACTGTGATCAGGAGACACGACTAGTAATATGGGACCAAGAATGCTGTCACTAGAGAAAAGTGTCAATGAGACATATCAGTGAGTCTTCATGAATATGAGATACGCTTGCTTGCTGAACTACAAAAACCTGGTTTGCAGATCAGGTCTTAAAGTGCCTAGAATGCTATTCCCCAACCTCAACAAAGGACCAATTGGCTAAAAAAGACCAAAAGCATGTGTTGCTTAAGGAAGGGCTGATGAAAAGCATTTGTCTCAACTCAAGGATGAAAAAAAGCCAAAGTCCCAAGGATGATGTAGAATGAAATAATTTGTGAAAAGGATTTAGAAGGTGACAAAGAAACTATCTTATCAATAAAGAACAATCAGCCTTTGACCAACCGAGAAGCTGATATTTGGAACTCTGAAGCCAAGAAATTTTTACTTGAGCTCTGGACCTGACCAAGTGTGCTTCCATCCAAGGAAAAACCATGTTCACCGAGCCCACAAATGCTGGCTTTCTCCTTAGCCACAATGTCAGTAGGCACTGGGCCAGCATCTCAGTGGTTGCAAACGGGATCCCCACCCCCCAGACCACTGTGAGGGAGAAGGCTTTGTGTGTCCCAGGAAACCCAAACACCAGTATTGGAAATCAGGGCCAGATTGAGATGTCCATCGATGAAGTGTGTCGAGAGATGGTGTTACATTGCTGCAAGTCATTTCTGCAGCAGGCCGGATTAAATCTGCTAATAAGCATGACGGTTATTAATAACATGCTTGCCAAGTCGGTTTCAGACCTGAAGTTTCCTTTGATATCCGAGGGCAGTGGATGTGCAAAGGATCAGGGTTTGGAAGCACTGCTGGGTTTGTCTGAAAAGCCAGTGTTGGCCGGGGAAGTGCTGGCTGCCCAAATACTGTTCTCCTTCATGCTCCCCTTTATGAGAGGTGGGAACAGAGAGATGCTCGTGGAGGCCTTCAGAGAGATGCTCGTGGAAGCCCTCTCCCCATAAGCGGCTGTCTCCAACAGAAGGAGACTGAATCCACCCAGGGCCCCAGCAGTTTACTGAGGACAGAGAAACTGCAGTGGGTGCAAGCAAAGATGAAGCCTTAGCCAGTCAGCTCCTCCTTGGGCAAAAGTTCCAATAGCTAAAAGAAGGGCGACACTCTTCTTGGCCAGGCAGAGGCTCCCCGGAACTGTGGGCAACTTGTAAGTTTTGTAGTCTGCAGGAAAGGTGCATTGTAAATTGCTCCCTTGCAGTCTTCCTCCTGCAGTAAAAGGTAAAGGGATCACGGTTGGCTGTGAGCTGCAGATAACAGACATCAGATCACAGCAACACCAGAGCTGTTGTTGCCTGTGGTGATCTCCCTGTCTAGGCGGGACCACTTAGCAGAAATGACACCCACATGGAAGCTCGGGTCGAACTTGCATCTGCGGCCGCTGCTAAGGTTGAAGTATTTCCCCGTTCCTCTTTCCTGTACTAGCTGATGGATGGCTAGCATGTTAATCAAAGAAATGCACCCCGTCCTGTCCATTGTACCGACTGACCCTCTTCCACCCAAGCCCCCACCTGTGTGTATCATCAATAAACTCGTGTGTTTTGATTGGCAAGAAAATCGAAGGGGGACACGGGCCTCATCTTTGACTTTGGTCGGCAGAAGCAGGGAGACAAAATGCACCATAGAGTCCAGCTGCCTGGGTCCCTGCTCCCTGAAAGGCGCGCTTGCCAGTGCTCAAGGAGGCAGGGGCAGAAAGGGATTGCTGCACCAGGGTGAAGGAGGTGCAAGAGGGCCTCGGGGGAAGGGCGAGGGCAGGGGTAGATTCAAGACCTGTGTGCAGATGGAGGGGAGACAACACACTTGAAGCAGTCACCCCCAGGGCCCTGAGTACAGGAAGCCCTTCAGCAAGAGGTCTTTTTGACTGGCCTCCTGTGGACTTGTGCCTATTGGGAGGAGGCTTCTCCCAGGAGGGATTGCCACGTGACTGGTCTCTGCTAGGTTCATATCTATCTGTCCCCTTAAGATGCTGTCAAAACGACTTCCTGCCCCCTTCCTTCCTTGGGGTCCCAAGCACTGCTTCCTGGCAGGGTGAGATGGTTGGCAGCTGCTCCACATTGTCGGCGGGGGGGGGGGGG